TTAGACTCAAAATGTCCTAGGCCCATGTGGAAAGCTCCTTTGCAGTAAATTCACCTTCTAAGATGCTTTTGATCCAGGGATACTAATTAACAATAAAGGTATGTTAGATTTACTAATTTTCTCCAAAGGATAGTTCTTCTAAAGATTGGCCCCTCAAAAAAGAGGAATTGAGAATAAGCTCCTTACTCAGCTTAAAATTTTGATGACATCCTCTGAGCCATGTTCCAGCTCTGCTCAGGGCCCTCAAAATGAGTTTTTAGCACTCTCATCTTGGCTGGGATATCTTGGTGCTGGCTTCCTAATTAAAAAGGTGTCTGTAGAATGTTATTTCCTGATTAGAACTCAAACCCTGAGGTTGTAGTAGCTCAGAACTGCAACTCAGAAGTTCATTATACCCAGTGTGTGCTGAATATATGAGAAAGTCTTTTACCTGAATTGTGTTTGTTTGTTTGTTTGTTTGTTTGTTTGTTTTGGCCAGGGATTTTGCATTCAACTCTTTGACTCAAGGGTACATGGCTCCTGCACTGATCTGTGGTGGGTTGTCTGAGACCATTGAGGCAAACTTAGGGATCTAAAAACTGACAGCAAAACTACTGTATCACAGCAGAAGGTGGCACCTATTGAAAATCCTTCTATATAGGGGCACCTGGATGGCTCAGTCAGTTGAGCATCTCAGGCTCAGGTCATGATCTCAAAGTCTGTGAGTTCGAGCCCCGCGTCTGGCTCTGTGCTGACAGCTCAGAGCCTGGAGCCTGCTTCGGATTCTGTGTCTCCCTCTCTCTCTGTCCCTCCCCCACTCATGCTTTGTCTCTCTCTGTCAAAAATAAATAAACATTAAAAAAAAAGAAAATTCTTGCATAAATGCAGACCATGTTCTCAAAGGAAAAATTGACATCATAGCTCATAATGAACTATTCAGTCTAACCCCTACTTATGTCATTGTTTTTATGTGAAAGCCCATTTTCAAGTTCAACTCAAAAGCATTTTGTCCCTAGTGCAACTTTGGGAGAGGGAAGGAATCTTCACCTGTTGTGTTCACACTGAAACCCAGCACTCAGCGATTTGGGAGTCTGGTAAACAGGGACTTCAGGTTTATCCATTTTTGTCCTTTGTACCTGTTACTAGTGCTTCTTTTCATTTTCAAAAGTTCCCAGTTTGGCCAATACAGTGACATCCGTGAAAGATAGGATAGCCAAAATTACCTTACTTCTGAGGCTTTAAGAGCCATAGTGGGTACTCAGGGGAGGAAGGGAGTCTGGGGACCCAACGAATGTCTGGGAAGGGGATGCCAGGAGGTGACTGCAGGCCCCACAGATCTCCTGTGATCCTGCCAGTCTGGAATGTTTCTGCAACAAGGGATAATGTAAGTGCTGCTTTCTGCTTTAGGGAAAGTGTTTCCTAAGAGAAGAGGAAGAAAACAAAATAGGGAAAACCTGGGAAGCTCAGCTAAAACTGGGCTTAATGAGTCTACGCCTCTCCTGCCACCAACTCTTCTCCCCTCTGGTAAGAGAGAGGCAGCAGCTTTTATTCACTGAAAATTCTGATGACCACGGGAAGGAGGAAAACACAGCCAGATACTCAGGGCCCCTGTTTGGCAGGCAGCTGCCTTCTCATCCTGGGCTGAAGCTGTTTCCTGCTGAACAAAAAATGGCTGTGAAATGTCAGCTTGGGAAAGCATTGCTGGGCCTCAGCTTGTAACTCCTCCTCCTGGGGGTTTAGTGCGTGGCAGAGCAATCCTATCAGTTCTGCCAGTGATTCCCCTGCTGTCAATAGGGGTTATCATATCAATAGACCCACAAATAATTGCCTCCACCAACTATTGCATTTCCCAGAGAAGCTAATCCCTAAGGGGGAGGGGGGAGAACAGCTAATGAACCACATCAGAAGGTGAAGCAGAAGGAAAATCTCTCCTAGGAATGTCAAGGCAGCACATGCCTCTCTGTGAGATGATAAGGCAACAGGGTTTGGGACTTGGAGAAAATCTCTAGCTGCAAACAAGACTGAAGAAGGAGGAGAAAAAGAAGGAAAGAACAGAATCGGCTTTTTACCCTGTGTGCCTCATAAAATGAATGATCAAAAGTAAATTACAGACTTGCAAATGAGTGGTTAACGACTGAGACAATATGAGTGCAGAGAGAAGCTCATCAAAACACACTGGGCAAGAGCAAGAGAGGGAAGGACTGAATACAAATGACACTCTATAAAGCTGGAGCATCACAGCAAATGGCCCCCAGCGGAGGGCCAGGGTCATTCCCCACACCTGTTAGGGGCAAGGGGAAACGTGCCAAGGCTCCTTTCAAAGGAGGAGGAGATGAAGAGGCTGTGTGCATGGAGGAAAATAATAAGGGGGAAGCATGGTAGAGAGGAAGGAGAACAATGGCGCAGCAGCCCCCAGCTCCCCAGGGGAGCTGATGAGAACAGCTCTCTCTTCCCTCTACAATGGGATGGGACTTCAGTGTGCAGTGGGGCTGGGGGAGGGTAAGAGAGGCTCAGGGACAAGGATATTCTTTGCAGTCATGCACAACCTCCCACACTATAAATGCCCTGAATGGTGGAAGTCATAAAATGGGGTGAGGTCAGGGTCAGGGAGCCCCGGATTTACTTAGGATCCTTGTGAAGCCCCCTCATCTACCTCGTCTTTCAGCTGCTGCTTATTCCACGGGGACTTCAAAAAAGCTGGAGAACTCAGGTTCTGGGAACATTTTAGTGGGAGGGAGGGTGCCAAAGCAGAACGTGCCAACACAGTGGAGCAGGTAATTGTAGGGGTGCCACACAGGAACCTCTCCACTAGTTCAGGGCAGGGTGGGGGACCAGAGGTGAACCATTAGAGGTGGCTGCTCTCAGGAAGATGGATACCACTGCATACTGCAAAGTCATGCACACTCATTGGACCATGGTTAATTACGAAACAAGTGATTTTGAAGCCCTAGGATGTGCCAGACTCTATGCAAGATGCAGAGGGTGCACAAATGGTTATAATTGTCCCCTGTATTTTAGAAGCCTACAGTACAGCAGGAGAGAACAGATATATGAATAAATATTTGCAAGAAATAATTGCAAAAAGAACAACTAGCTGAGCATTGTGGGAGGCTTCACAGAGGAAGTGACATAAGGTCTGGGTCTTAAAGTGCCAGATGAGGAGTGGGGTGAGGGTGGCATGCCAGGAAGAGGATATAGAGGCAAGAATAGAGCATGACGTGTTTAGAAAGTGGCAAGCAGTCAGTGTGGCTTGAGAGCAGGAGATGAATGTGGGAGGTGAATCTGGAAAATTAGGATGAGGATAGATTGGGGAGGGTCTTTAAGTTATGCTAAAGAGATTGGATTTTGTTTTATAGGGAAGCCACTGGTGGTTCCTGACTAGGGAAAAGGCATCATGGAATCTGTGGTTGGAAAGCCCTCCCTGGCAGCTGGGTAGAGGATACACACACATTGAGATGCCTGGGGACATCTGTATTGTGGTCATTGGGTACATCTGCTGTGCCAGGTGCCTACCTGCCCATATACAGGGATGAGGCCCAGCAGGTAGAAGCATGGGAGGAGCAGAATTGGCAGGGGCTAGCAAAAGGTATTAGATTTCTCCGTCCCATGCAGGGGAAGAGCCACCTGCTCCATGCAGGTTTGAGCCAAACCACACAGTAGGTTGCTTTTCTACCTGCCCTTTAGGCTTAGGTGGTAAATATTCAGCTCAAAGGACATAAAGTGCAGAACATAAAGAGCTAAGGAAACCCAAAGCACTAGCACTGGCATCTGTCCAGCAATGACCTTAAAAAGCCAAGAAATCAAGAAGTTTTCCAATAGGTTTGAATTTCTGATAAATTAGCAAAGACAACTAAGATGGTCTCTTTGCTCCCCTTATCATTTAAGCACGACATTTGTCCTGATTTAATTTTCATTCGTTAACATTTGCAAAGGATGTTGGGACTGGAATTTTCTTGCTTTCCCCTACCCTGATACTTAATTGATTCCTATTGATCCTTAGGTCACAGCTTAAGCGTCACTTCCTCAGAAGAACCTTTCTCAACTCTATAGACTGATTTGGTCCTCTTAATTTTTGTCTGTCTAGGACCTATCTCTTTGACAATAGCCCTGTTTTAGATCTTCTATTTTTTCTCCCTTTCTTTCAACTTCAAAGCATATCTTCCCCATGATACATTCGCCCTAGGCATAAGGACTTCTATATTGACTGATGAAAACCATAAATAAGCAAATTCGCAATACAGTGTTAGGACTGAACATGGCTGTGTGCGTGTTAATTTCTTGCATTTGTTACTGGTTTATGAGGGGCCCTCATCCGCAATAGAAAGGGCTACTGGTCTAAGGAGAAATGGATAGAGATATTTTGACTTAATGGATCTTCCTCATCAACTTTCAAGTTCCATATCCACTATTTAAATCTATTATATGGCCCCAGTGTCCCTCATCTCTGAAGCTGTACCACTTCCAAGGCATTGGCTGGAACGTGTGCCCCTAATCCCAATGAATGGAGACTACCAGTTGCTGAAAAAGTTTATTTTCCCCTCTTCTTTACACACAATTGTGTTAGGGGAAGCAATGTATCCAAGTATAAAAGATATATTTCCTAGCCTCCTTTGCACCTGGAAGTGGACACATGGCACAGTATGGCCAATAAGATATCAGTGGAAGTCATCAGGTGGGCCTCCAGGAAAGCTGTATAAGAGGGACTAGACTCAGTTGATACATACACTTTTTGCATTTCCCTCATTCTGGAGCTAGGATGTGATGGCTAGAGCTGGAGTGGCAATCTTGCAACCTTGAGGCAAAATCAAGCAAATTCCACAGACCTCAACTTGGACATCCTTGAGCCACTAAACCAATATCAGCAACTGCCTACATCTGGACTTCTTACTAAGTGAGAAAAATAAACTATGATCTTGTTTAAGCTAACATATTTTGGGTTTTTTTTTCTGTTATATGCAGTAAAACTCAATCCTGAATTGATATACCCATCGTATTTTGCAGGCATTCTGGTGAGTGAGTCAGCCAAGCTTATGAGTACCTGCACCTTATTAGGTTCTAGGAGATTTCTTCCCTCCAGTGGGATGAGCACCAATAAGTAAGTACACTTGTCTTATCGCCTCTAGTAGGCACTGCCAGATCAAGCCCCTGCCCTTCCTCTAACCCCATTTCATACTGTCCCTTTTTCTTCACATGCAACAGTCTCTAGTCCCACTGATTAAATTTATGGAATATACCTTTCCCCGGGTCAGGTTCTTCTTACTTGATGTTCCTCCCTCTGTCTCCATCCCTCCCCCAACTCTTCAGGGTCTCTTGAATCTTACCATGAATGCCATCTGATATCTAAAACAAACCCTTTCCTATTGCCCTCATTATTTCCATCTCAATCCTTTTTCGGTTTGTTTTATTCATGGCACTATCACGATTAAAACTTTTATTGTTTTTTTCTTGTTTATATATTTTTTGTCAGTTTCTCTCTCTGCATCCAGCTCCTTTCCACCCACCCCCTCCAATCTGAGGACTACATGCTCTCTTAGTTTCTGGGGAGCATCTCACATGTGGTAAACATAAAGGAGATGCTCAGTAAGCACAGCCCATTCTCACTTTGCATGGGTCCCATATTTGTGAATTCACTTGCTCACTAAAATTTATTTGTAACCCCCTAAATTGATACCCATGATGCTTTTGCAGTTATTCACAGACATGCAGAACTGTGAAAAATGTGAGTCACCTCATACACATGTTCCCAGTTGAGGTTAAACAAGATGATGCTCTGCCTTCTTGCTTCAGTCCTCTTAAACAAGTGTCTTTTTGTGGTCTGTTGTGTTTTTAAAAATCCTTTTGTGTTTTTTATTGGTGTTTTCCTGTGTAAAATGGCCCTCAAGCATAGTGCTGGAGAGTCACACAGTGATTCTATGTGCAAGAAGGCTTTATGTGTTTATGGAGAAATATATATGTTTAAATGAACTTTGTTCACGTATGAGTTATGGTGCTATTGGCTGTGAGTTTGATATTAATGAATCAACAATATATACTAAACAAAGTGTCTCTGAGCATAAAATAAGGTTTTGTATTGATGGGTTAACAAAAATCTTGTGACCAAAGGCTTACAGGAACATAGTCCTGTACTTCCCTTAGGAGCAATGGTTCATTGCTTTCTAATTCATGTCCACGGTGACTTTATAGAACAGTACTACCACAGGTAACAAGAATGGACTGTATTTGTTGATGAATGCTAATGTTTGTGCTGGGTGTGATGTGCGCACAGGGGAGGGAGAGGGAATTCTCAGCATCATAGCCAATGCATAGTCAGGCCAAGTTAATTCTGCTCCCAAGTTGGCAGATCTGGAGATTGTTTTTTGCAGGTAGAGGGAGGTTTCTTTAATTCTCTTGGCACCATCCTGTAGAAGGACTGTAGCGAGATGCCCCAGAATCTACAAGGTGCCCTGAGGTGGTGATGTTTTTGGAAAGGGAATTAAGAGCCAGCACCTCTCTGCGCCTGCCTATGTCAGACAATTATAGAGAAGAAGAATGACAAGAGAAAATGAAAAGGAAATGGGCTGACAGCCTGCAGAGTGGTATTTCAACTCCAACACAAAACATTCAGTAGTAATTATAGAATAACCTTCATTTAAATGCAAATAAGCCTGTAATTAAGATAAGGGACCTACCATTTGCCAGCGTTTTTGTTGTTTCTTTTTATTTTTTAAATTTTTGGGGGGTGACAATTACAATTTCTCACACATCCCCCTGCTTTATTGATGAGTAGTCATTATGTTTATGGATTGTGTTGTGAGTGCAATATTTGGATAACTGCAGAATAGAAATTAGTGTCACTTACTTTCAGCTGCCCCTAGCAAAAGGAAAAAAAATGTGTACAGTGCATAATGTTGACATAAGCAAAACTTCCTAAGTGGCATGGCCCTGGACGGCATCACATAATGTGCTGTCCCAGATCACCAAGAGCCTGAGACAAATGCACTGAGTCCAGAATTACAGAAGGAAACAAACAGCTTTCTTGATGACTTCTAGCAGAGCTGCTGAGCTCTTGCAAAGCATCTACAAATTGCACCAAGTGTTTTTCCTTGGTTGAAAATGGGCAGAATGAAAGATAGAATTTTTAGACATTTTCTCAATAGGATCTTCAGAGAGGGAAGATGATGATCTAGCCATGGCCTGTGTATTAGTTTGTGACACAGGACAAATTTCTTAGCCTCTTTTGCCAAGTTAATATTGATCACTTCACTTATTGCCTGCTATTGACTCTGATTGACTCACACTCTGGATTAGGAAAAGTGAGATCTCAAACAGACCAAATGGGCTACTTGCTGGGTAAGCAGTTATTCATTCATTCCCTCAACAAATATACCCCTTTCCCCAACATCTTTTCTTTTCATTTCATTTCATTTCTTTTCTTTTCTTTTCTTTTCTTTTCTTTTCTTTTCTTTTCTTTTCTTTTCTTT